AATGAATGAATGAATGAATGAATGAATGAATCTTCCTAACATAATGGAGGAACATTGTTTTACTATAGAAGAAATTAAATCTGTTTGGGAACAATGTGTTCAGGACTTATTTTTAAAATTGGATTTGAGAGAGGTTAAAGAAGAAGATAAGATTCTACTGGATAAAACAGAAGCTGAGGATGATTTGAACAGGGATTTTAAAATGGACTGTAGACAATTACCAGATTATAAAAGAGAGATGGAAGATATGGAAAAAGATGTAGATTTGAAAATGGATTTAAAAATATTTGACTACAAGAGTGACATTTTTCTCTTTTGCATCTTCACACAATAGTGTGGCTCCCTTAAATGTCTATCTGCAGTTGGCAATAGGAAGGTTAAGGGATAATGAATTGAAACCGAATCCAAACAGGACTGAAGTGTTCATTGAGAGGGGTCACAGTTCTAGAGGAGTGCTAGGTCTCCCTGTTCTAAATGGGGACATATTTTCCCAGAAGGAGCAGGTGCGTAGTTCAGAAGGGCTTCTGTGGATTTGGATACAGGTAGTCCTCAACTTACTCATTCTTTTAGCAACCATTTGAACTTATGACAGTGCGGAAAAAAGTAACTTATGACCGGTCCTCGCATTTATGACCATCTCAGCGTCCCCATGGTCACATGATCAAAGTTCGGGCGCTTGGCAACTGACATGTATTTACGACAGTTGAAGCATCCCAGAATCATGTGATTGCCATTTCTGACCTTCCCAGCCAACAAGCAAAATCAATGGGGAACCATGTGATTCACTTAATGACCACGGTGATTTGCTTAATGACTGCCACAAAAAAGTCATAAAATTGGGTGTGGTCACGTGATGCCTCACTTAATAACCACATCACCTAACAACAAATTTTCCAGTCCCTATTCTGGTCGTAAGTCAAGGACTACCTGTATCTCTCTGGTTTCCCAGACTGAGACAATGGCCAAGATATTTTTTAATTACCATTCCTTCCTTTAAAAAAATGGCCTTAATTAAAATTGTGATGTATGCATTCCAGACTTCATTAAAGTTATACACTCTTTTGTATGTCATCTGGAAACTTCTGTGATATAGAATTCAATGGCCAGGTTGGTTTCTAGAACTCAGAGACTATGTTACATCTGAGCTAGAAGCACTACAAAGGCTACTCATTTGTTTCCTGGTGAAATACAAAATGCTGGTTATTCCTGGGGACTGCAATGCCTGAGAAAATGTCTCTTTCCATCCCTCAGTTCAGTGAGATCATTTGAAGAGGGTCTCCTACAGTTGCTGCAGGCCTATCTTGTAGCAACTTGAGAATGAATCTTCCCCACAGCCACTCTGGTTCTTTGGAATATACTTCCTGCTGAATTGGGGGGCTTAATTTCTTTATCAGGTTTAAAAATAATTTAAAGCAGACTTTTAATTGTTGATTTCAATTCATTTTAATTGTTGGTTTTAATTTTTAAATAGTTTTAAATGGTTGATTTTAAGTTTTCTGGTTTTTCTTTTGGTTTGATTTCGTTTCCTCATCTAGGTTGTTTTAACACACATACAAACCAAAACCAAAAACAAAAACAAAATCTCTTATTTGCTCCTTAGAAAGGTAAAATTTATAGGAAAATACTTTTATGTATCTTCGAAGAGAACCAGAAACAGAATGGACTTAGTGTAGAACATTAATAGGAAAAAATTTTCCTTAATTATTTACTACTTCTTAATTATTTATTTCTTAAAAGTATGCAGTGTTCTTTAGAGCCAATCTGTATTTACAAACGCTAAAAAAAAACCCATAATAAAGCCATAGTAATAACAAGAATAAGACAAAGTTTCATAATACATTAATAAATTAGAGCAATAGAGGTCCTGATGGCTCCATCGCTAATCCCCAAAGTCCTCCTGGAAAAGTCAGGTTTCTACCAGCTTCCGGGAAGGCTTAATTCCATTTAAATCCATGAATAATTTGTTATTATCTTCAAGGAGCCGTGTCACAGCTTTCTTAAAAGCAACCTTACAATTTCTATTTCTACCACACATTTTCCATTTCAGATCATAATCTGTTGAGTACCCTGTGCTGCTCAGCTCCTCTATTTTACACTTAGACCTTTTAACTACATTTAACCTACTATCCTTCAGTCATTATTATGAATCAGTGTAAAGCAAAAGAGACTTTATAAGATCACCTCTTTCACAGGATCTGAAAATCTGGCCCAAGATTAGACCTCACATTCCTATATTAAATTAAATGGGACTATTCTTTATAATTGAATCTGCAATGGGAGGTTTCAGAACCAAAATTTCAGGGATTATTAACTGCAAATCACTCAAGGATGGCAAAATCAAACAAAGCACTGTAATACAAGAGAAGCTCTCAAGTATTGTTTAAAATCAAGTACATTACAGCTTTATACTCTAGGACAGAGAGTATTCCCCAGACATGGCTGGCTGGGGAATTCTGGGAGTTGAAGTCCATCTATCTTAAAGTTGCTAAGGTTGAGAAACACTGCTCTAGGAACCTCTCTATTTTCCTATCCCACTGATTAACTCCTCCAAAATGATAGTATCAATTTCATTGGTCTGGGACTGTAAATATATATATTTTTAAATGGTATCAAAAAAATGGCCAGCTTATAACTTCTCATCAGACAAGAATATCTACATATGACTGTCCAATTTGCCACTAACCTCAGGTCCATAATTGCTTCTTTCTAATGTTTTTGTAAAACTTGAAAAGAAAACTGCTGCTGATTAAGAAAGCAGTCCTTGGCTTGTTCAAGGAGTGACTAAAAAGGGCCAGGTAGTTTTGGAAGACAAAATCCCCATTTCTCCCCAGGGACATTCTACTCTCTCCAGTTATACAGTTTCTTATTCCTCCTATAACATTCTTTTTTTAATGTTTCAGTTACTTTCATTTCTACACTAGGATTTCCTAATCCAACTTTGTACGATTCCTGTGCTGACTAGATTTCATTGTTTTTCAAAGACTGTTCAGCTGTGCTTTTCAGTCCCAAAATAGCTCTAATTTTTATGGTTCAGTGCCTCACACTGAATTTGCAATGAGTAGCAGATGTTCTTCTCATCATACCATAATCTCTCCAACAGTATTTTATAACTGTCACCATGTTAGGCAATAATGCTACTTTAGGTAGCAACAATGCTAGTAGTACAGGCAGGCACAAACTAAACAATGTAATGCTAAACAATGCATGAACAAAAGTGCTTTTATACATGAGTGTGTATTTGTAACGTATAAAAAATAACCCCATTTTGGCTCTATCTCTCTGTACATACTGTATATTACATATACAAATACAGGGATTCTTTTCCTCCCTTTTCAGTTTCCTGACAAACCCATCCTTGAAACCATGGAAATAATGGTCATTTATTTAAATAATAAATAATAAATAATGACATTCTCTAGGTCAACTGAAGATTATTAAAATTTTAACCTCCAAACAATTTCACTTACCCTTGGACTACTGAGAGGGCTGGTGGACAGGCCAGATGAAGCTCCGCTGATTGAACGAGACCTAAGTAGATACAAAGTCAAAATAAAATCCTGAGAAATCCCTGTCAAAAACACATTGCAGAGTGCGGCTATTGCTACACTTAATCTCTGTAAATTCGCGTCTCTATACAGAAACTTCATATAGAGCTGACATCTGTTTTTCAAAGAGTACTTATCCACAAAGAAGCACAACTTTATTTTGATTGAAGATCTGCATAAAATGACATAAAAGTTCAGAGAGATGAATAAAATTCTCATGCTACTACTAAGCTATCTAAATGATAAAATATGCTCCATAAAATATAATAATGTAAAACCATTAATAATAATGTGGCTAACTATGTCTAACACTAATCAGAAAATCAGTATTAGTTTAAGTCTAATGTAAAAGAAGAAGAAATTACAACAAAAGGCCAGACAAATAAAATGTTAAACAATGTTAAGCAATAATGTCAAAACAGTGAATTATTTACTAAAGGATGCACTACATATTCCAGCTGAACAAAGCCCTAAATGTAGACATTTGCAATCTAAAGCCACTCAAAGTCATAAAGGATAACAATTAAATGGTGATTAGCTAATACTCAAAAGGCCAGTCCGTAAAGATGGCCTAGCTAGTATTTGATGTTCTACTCTACAAGCTATTGCATGTTTTGCAAGAAGCAAGATAAGAAGAATATTGATACTTCTGAACTTAGGTGTTGTAGAAGACTCCTCAGAATGCCATGGATAGTCAAGAAAACAAATCAATGGATCTTTGAACAAATCAACCCAGAGTTCTCACTCCAGGCACAAATGATCAGGATCAAATTATGCTACTTCAGACACATTATGCAAAGACCCTAACCCTTATCCCTAACTCTTGATCTCTGAGAAAGGTGGAAGGAAAGAAAAGAGGATGACTAACAGCAAGGTGGATGGACTCAGTTACAATTGCAATTGGGGCACCATTGGAAGATCTGAAGGACCAGGTTAGAGGCAGATCATCATGGAGAAAATCTATGTGGTCACTAAGAGCTGACAATGACTTGATGGCATGTGATCATCATCATCATCATCATCATCATCATCATCATCATCATCATCATCATCCTGTTATTAAGTCATTTTTGTCTGAAAGTGGTAGAGAAACTTAGAATTGCTCTAACTGACCTGGATGATGCAACAGGAAAGGTGTGATGTTCTTGGTACTATAACCTCTATAGAGGATACAGTGCAATAAAATATAGTCATTTCTAATCCACAACTGCAAATGTTTTCCTTATAGGATAGGTAAATGATCATACCTATTTAGTATTGTAACTTCTTCCTCTACTTGGGGAATAGGAGGTAGGAGATATACCTGGCAAGTTCTCTGAAGTGATTGTGTAAATCTTTTTGTAAGTTCCTCTGTTTGTAAGCCTAATTCCTATTGGTGAGCTGTAACTTCAATTTGCTGTCTTTGGGCCACTTTGGCTTGCTCTTGGATCCAGGGAAGTAAAAATTATGGGGAGAATGTAGCTCTGAATAATCCATCCTTATCAGTGTTTCAGTGTTTATCACAAATCATTTTTATGAAAAATATTTCCTTATCAAGGTTTGCTTGATAGCAAGCTCACTGTATAGGAACTTTCATCCTTGTTTTAAATATTTTGTAAAAGAAGGAAAATGTAATTTTGTGAAACATAATATTGCAGTTGTTTGTACAAGTGCAGGCCATGAAATTATCTCCAGATTTGATTATGTGCCATCCAGTTGTTGTCGACTCCTAGTGACCATATAGAAAGATTTTCTCCACGATAATCTGTCTCTAACCTGGTCTTTCAGGTCTTCCAATGGTACATTCATCACCGTTGTAACTGAGTCTTATCCACCTTGCTGCTGGTCTTCTTTGTTGGGAATATCCTGACTTGAAATCAGAGATATTTTTATGCCATTCCTTTTCATATCTAATTTTTCCTACTTCCTATTTATATATTCCATGTGAAACAACTGGACTATATGTGGATGTATCATCAATGGAGTTCCTTATTACTCACTGCCACTATTAAAAGTGCACATGAACAAAAGTGCTTTCACACATCCATGTATGTCTGTAATGTATAAGAAGCAACTATATTTTGGCTCTACTTATAAACACGTATACATGTAAAGTGAATTTTTTTCTCCGTTTTCAATCTCATATTAATAACGTGATCCATCACACAAATTTTATGAAAGGAACATTAAAAGTTCACATGTAAAAATGCCAAAAGAGCCTCAGATTGAGAGGTTTTTCCCCTGTAGTGTTTAGCTCAAAGTGATATATCTGTGGAAGAAATACAGACTGTATAAAGAACAGACAACAACGAGGTAAGGTATAAATGACCAGTTCCTTAGATCTAATCTGCATGGTACTAGGTTATTTTATTGCCACATTTGGGGGAGGGGATGGAAGTTAAAGTTATTTTCACTGAACAAAAGAAAGTAACTACCAAATACAGAGGTCTGGGAAGAAGAACATTTGGGGTTTGTGCATACAGCCAGATCATGCATGCAAACTTAAAACAGATATTTTATATATGCATGCATAACCCATTACTCAACCAAAGACTATATTTATGTAACTGCCTCTTCTGCATATGAGATAATTACAGAAACCACTTATTTCCTTCAGCCTGGGACCCAAAGCTGGGGGAGAATTAGTCCCATAGGAAACATGCTTCTAAATCAAAATCCTCTTCTGTAAAATGATCTTGCAAGGAAAAAGAAATCACCATATAGCAGCCAAACATCTGAACAATCCTCTTTGTAACTTAAAAGATGTATGCATGTGGCTGTATGTGTGTGTGTGTGTGTGTGTGTGTGTAAAATGATTTTATATGGGAGAAAGGAAGATTAGCCCTTCCTACCAATGTAATGCTTTTATTTGAAATGCCCCACCCCCACCCTAGGCATCAATTATTCTTTATAACAGCCTGCAATGCTATGAAATGGGGACTATTTTGAAATTTCATGAAGGTTAAGGAAAAGCTCCTATTACCTGCTGATTGAGATAAGTGCTTTTTCAGGCTGGAAGCAGGGTAAGTTTGGGTTGAAGCTTTTGGACCAGATGAAGAAGAGCCTACAGACCACCAGGCATAATTATATGGTGAAAGTAATAATGAGAAATCTCTTGTAAGCCAGGAGAAATTTTTACTGGGAGATCAGTGTATCCCATTTACCATATTCTATCCCTGGGAAATTGTGTGGGGAGGCAATATGAAATAGCGGTATGTACATGGGTGTCAGAAAATAATGGGTAAAATGGTAGTGTATGTAAAAGAGTTAGGGAGAGAGAAAGTATGGGACATACAGTCAATAAAATTATATGGGGTTGGGAGGGAGAGGAAAGATGGAAATGGAGAAAGGCAAAGTGTTTGTAGGTCTTCTAACATCTTCTAACCCTGCCAATCCAAATACATGATGGTAAGAAAGAAAGACAGAGGAAGCAGGAAGAAAAATGTGTGTGCGTAATGTGCAAAATGGTCTTTTTTGTTTCTTTTTTGGGGGGGGATGTATAAAGTAGGGTCTTGCAAAAGCCTCACCTTGAAGTACCCACAAAAATGTTCTGCCAAAGTTTACAATTTAGACGTTACAGAGAGGAGTGTATGTGTTGATACTTACCGGACCCAAAATTCACTGTTCACCCTTGCTGAATGAACAAAAAGTTGTGTACATTTGGAGTTTTCAGCTACATATAAATGGTACATCAAATCTTAATTGACTCAAAGCTTATTTATAAAAATAACCTCTGAACTGATCCAGGAATAAAGTTTCAATTCAGTACCTTAAAACAAACAGCCATAATGAACAAACTATAGATATCACTCTTCACCTAGTGCTATAGAGTAATGACATTTATAATTCCTAATGGAATATTACTCTCTGCCTGTTCTTTTCCCATCAGACAGAACTAAGACCAGTTTAAAGAAAACTGGGGTGAGACCTTTTTCATGAAAGTGGCCTAAAGCAAGGTTAAGATGAAAGAGCACAAGGCTGTGGATTGAAAGAAATCCTGTTTTTTCAACAACTCCACAGGCAGTAATATATTACCATGCCAAGTAATGACACTGGGTGAACAAAAGGAAGAATGAGGTAGCAATTTAGAGTGGGAAAAGAGCCTTTTATCTATATCAGACTGGCACAATTATGGAACAAGAAATAGCCATTTCCATGTAACCTTCCCGACAGTGGCCTTTAGCTTCATCACAAGATTAGTCTTTATTGAGTGATTCTGATCATGCATCTTTCTTACAATTAATCACACTAAATCTCTGCAAATTAAAACAAAAATATTTGTCATTTTACAGGCATATTTATTACAGCTTTGCAAATCCTTTGGAGGGGTTCTTCAGGAAGTGAGTGAAACCCCCCTGCGAACATGACGCACCAGGTGCCACTGAACCTCATCCTCTCAAAGGCTCAGTGCAGCCCCTTCAAGAACCTGTCCATTTTGTCTGCACATGTGTGTGCATGCCCAAAGGATGTTCTTCAGTTGGGATTATATACAGCACCTTGATGCTTCAAACAGCATGTTCAGAGTGTTAATTATTAGTGTCCAAAAGAGCCCTCCAAATGGTTCACACGGTCCCATATTATTTCTTCTAATGCACTCTAGTGAACCGTGCAGTGTGATATAAATATTCTATTACTACAAGTTTATGACAGAATTGCACTGTTGATAAATGTTATAATTAAAGCAACTGCTCTAAGGAGATGTTTGCTAGAAATTAGAATAACATATATATAAAGTGTTGAATTCATTCGCCTGCCTCATCCATTTTGCAAAGCTCACCTGTTCACAATAAAATTATCTGAGAAACCTCCTGAAGCTGAAACTTTTCTCACATCTTTTCAACCCGTAAAGCCAAAAGCTTACTATGATGTAACAAAGTATCAGATTCTCAGTCTTTCCAACACTATCTCTTCAGATTAATTGCATGCAGTTTGCTTTGTAATTATCGCCTTATCCTTTGAAAAACTTTAAACAAGACCTAATAGTAAAAATAGATAAATATTTTAAATAATAAATAAGGGATTTCAGTATTTTTTTGAATCCAGAACCACGGTGGGAAGATACGTCTTTCTGCCTTGTTTATAAAAATATGGAGGCTTGCCTATTTTTGTCTCTATTGCACTTTATCTTACCAGAAGAAAGCAGTACAGTTTATCCAAAGGAAAATATACACTTTTAAAAAAATGCCATTGCTTGTTTTGTGCTTCTGTGCCAGAAGAATGAACACTTTTTGATTTTACTTCTGCCACATAATGTTAAAAGCAAAAATGCCAGAGCAAATGATTGTATCATTGTATTCTAACAGCTTAAAGAAACATACACAACTTAGGCTGACTTGAAAGCATTGGCATACCTTCTATCTGCAAATCATGTCCAATGCACTTTAAAACTATCCCATTTCCCGCACTTTGTCCTCGCCATCTGCAGAGCCAAAGTGTAATGCACGCTTGCAGCAGGCACTTTCAGTCAATTGTTGCTCATCCTGAGCCAGTGAATAGTGGAACAAAGAGGCTATGCCAGGCAAGCTGTGTTCACTCTCGCTGCCTAAAGCTTGCCAACAGCTGAGTTTATTGTTCCCCCAAGAGGTTCCAGAACCCCATCAATAAACAAGCAGTCCTTCCCCTTCTTTCACAGAGAAGACAAATTTCCCGCTCCCACCGCCACTGCCACTACACTCCATGCATTTGTCCACATTTTGGGGTGGAGGCAAACTCAAGGCAGAATTTTGCTTTCACTATTACTGTAACCACAATGCAAGTAGGGGTGTGTATGAAAATCCCTTCCACCCTTGCTTATCTTGCAATTGTATTTTGGAGCTAAAAGACTGCCTATTTTGAGATTGCAGCCTCTCCTCCTTAGCCACATGGTTTAAGCTTCAGCTGCAGGCATTTCCACATCACTACCATTTCAATTCCCCTGTCCTACAAAACAAGTATAAAACTGGCCAACATTCATCTTCATTGCTATTAACCAACAGGAGAAGAAAAAAAGCTTCCCCCCCCCCTCCAATCAGTGCCTTGCCCCTTCATGGTTTTAGTTCATTAAGTGCTCATTTCAGGGGGGATTTTTTTTTTTTTTAAATGCAGTTGTCACAAAGAGGAGTTTCAAACCAACAAGGCACTATCCCTGAACTACATTTAGCTGAGTAGCTAAACTGTAGGAGGAGGTGAGGGGAGAGGCCGGCTTCAGCCCAGGAACAAGGAGACAGGGTCAGGCAAGAAGTCATTGAGGAAATTGCCTACTCTGAAGCACTTTATCCGTCCTAACAGGATAATGCTTTGGTGCACCACAGCTGTCATGGGATGTGGGAATGACCTTGGGAGACAGGAGGAAGACCCACAGCCTAGGCAGTGGTCTGATATGAGGCAACTCAGTCTGCAGGTGGGGGAAAGGCATAGGAAGCATTTCAGAAGGGACCCTCCCACATTTTCCAGAGACTAAAAAAGAGAGGAGGGAGAAACATTTTCAGTCTTGCAAGATTCTTTTTAATATAACCTTACAATAAAGATGGCGCTGATGCTCCTGGTTGTGCTTCTTGTCTGGACTATCTCAAAGGGCTAACAATAACTCACTGGAAAATAAATTTGCTTGGCCATTAAACACAAACAACAGTGTAGGATTGCACAGGTGTGGAGCTGATTTTGTAGTGGCACAAAATTGTATCTGGAGGTGCCCAATAATAACCCCACTTAGGCAGAACTTAAACCTCAGGGATGGTAAGGAGCTGCATCTATGTTGGGACCAAATCCTCCAGTTGTTGTTGACCATTCTAACATGACTGCTTCTCACTCTCAAATTATAGTTGCACTTGCAAAACATCCTCATAAACCTAGCCCAGATGATGCAGATAAGCAAGTGAATCAAGGTCAGCAAAGGTAGTTTGGCAGTGAGTTCAGGAAAGTGAAGAAGAGGGAAGGATGAAAAATGAGAAGGATGGAAAGAGTCAAAGCAAGGGAGATACTCCTGACTATTGATGGCAATTTATTTCCGACAGTTGCTGATTGCCTCCCCACTCCAGTATTCAACTGCAGCATTGCCTTCTGCTGAGCTTAACTGAGGCAGGTTCAGGGGATATATAAGGAAGCCACTTTCCAAAGTTGAGCTCACTGAGCAAGTGAACAGAGAAAGGAAACTGGAGTTTGGTTGGGGAAGTCATCACAGAGACACTCATGAACCCCCCTCCCACCATCACTTTCATAATCTTTGGGAAGCCAGTGGCAGAGACAGCCATTCAGGTGTTTTGTACGGGGGGGTTGCATGGATGTGTACAAGATTCCACATAAGTGAGAAGTTTTCTTTTTCTTTTTTCCTTTGTTCATCTGAGAACCCTGGAAAGAACTGCTGTTGTGACCTACAGGAGACATGTCATAGTTGTTTCCTCTACCAAAACATCAAGCCCTGCATATGCTGCAAGTGCAGAGTAATCACCCACCTGGAAAAGAAGATGAGGGGCTGGGACTAGAGGTAAATCTGTTCATCTCCTTCTCCCTATTTATCAGGGAGGATGGACTGGACACAAGAAACATTTGGAGAGGGACAACATATCAAGAAGCCTTCCAGAATATTGGGGGCGGGGGAGTGGAGGGGACAGATAAATGAAAGAACATGACACAAGGGACCAAATCTGTCAAGGAGAGCTTTTTCTCTGGAGCTTCAGGAATAGATTCCAGAACCCTTCTATTTGCAAAACAAAGCAAAAACAAAAAAGCAAATGCACGCCTAAGCTGCATCGACAGCAGTATAGGCTCAAGGTCAAGAAAAGTCACTGTTCCTCTCTATTCTACATTAGTCACACTGCACCTAGAATATTGCATCTAATTCTGGGCAGTACATTTTAGAAGATGTCCTCAGACCAATGAGGCCATGCTCAGAGGAGAGCAATAAAAAACATAAGGGACTTGGAAGGAAGAAACCTATGAGTAACAGTTGGAGGTATTGATTATGTTTAGCCTGGAGAAGAGTCCAGGCTAAACTGGACTTCCAAACATCTGAAGGGCTATCGTGTAGAAGGCAGGGTAGACTTGTTCAGTGCTGTTCCAGAAAATAAGAAACAATGGGTTTAACTGCATGGAAACAGGTTTTAATTAGACCTCAGGAAGAATTTCCAATTGTCAGAGCTGTTCAACAATGGAACAGACTGCACTAGGAGGTGGTGTGCTCTCTGTCACTGGAAATATTTGATTAGAGGCTGATGCCCATTTGTTGGGGATGATACAGTAGTAGATTCCTTTAGTGGGCAAAGAGTTGGACAAGAAGATCTTCAAGGTCATTTCCAACCCGTACATGTATGATTCTGTGAGAAGGAACTATATTGTTTTGCTAAATAAGAGGGATGTTTTTTTCTTTCCTGCTCTTTCCAGACTTCAACTCCTTCCTGTAATTGGTGTTAGCTTTCAAAAATTACTACAAGGGATCTAATCAAAAGTTCTCAAGACCTCACATCTAATTTTATTCTTATTCTGCAATCACTAAGATAAAGACAAAACCAAGGTAAGGAAGCACAGGCTGCTGTGGGCACCCCCACCCCAACCAGAGCATTGTATTAAAATATTTCTTCCTGAAATATTTTCGATTGCACAATAATGAATGTTTAAACTGGGATCATTAAAAGAAATCTTTCCCCGCCCCAAAAGAGAAAAGATTCCACAACAGGTATAATTGAAAACTGGAGCTTACCCCAATGTGTCAGCACTCGTCATCCTTGGCAGAGGGAAATAAAAAGAGAAGAAGAAAAAAGAAAGGGATATGGAAACAGGTGGAGAAAAGAGTATGAAAAGCAGAGTGAAATACTGTTCGGAGAACTACATGGTCATAATTTCTTTGCCACAAGCATCTGTTGCCAATGAATGTGCCATCGGGGAATTCTTATGGGAAGGGAGAATTTTATAATACACAAAATTCCCATGCTGCTTATAATTTGGGAATGTAGGGCAAGCAGAGAAAGTATGAAGAAAAATCATAAATATAGCTTGTCTACTCTAAGCCGGAGAGTTGGAAGTTCATTTTGGATTGCTTTTGGAAAGCATATCATTTGTTTATGGTAGCTAGCTCCACTGTATTTATTAAAATAGATGTGGATCTCCCCACATTTTGGTCTTCTAATATTTTTCTGTCCTAGAAAGATCTGCTCAGGAAATCTCTTTTTCCAATAAATATGCCTATAAACTGATGTACTATGAAATGCACTGATTATTAAGACAAATACATCTGAATAATAATGGATGCCCAGTAAACAAAGTTATAAATGTTTCTTTTATTAATACAAGAGTATATGGCTTAGCACGACTCTCCCTATCTCATTTGATATTTGTCTAATAGTGTTGTCCAAACTTGGCCACTTTAAGATGAGTGGACTTCAACTCCCAGAATTCCCCAGCCAGCATGGGAGTTGAAGTCCACTCATCTTAAAGTGGCCAAATTTGGACAACACTGGTCTAATAATTCCAAATGGATTGTATCTCAAATTCCTAGTACAATTCTTATTTCTTCCTGACTTGTGATCCAGAATCCAATATTTTTATTAAAACAATAAAGGATTATAAAGATTATAAATCCATACTTTCTCTGTTGGAATACTACATAAAATATAAAGATAATAAAACTATGGGCTGAAACAAACGTGGTAAGAGGAGAATTGGCACCGATGATAATTCTCACAAATTATATTTTTGCCCATTTGTTTATTTTACTACTACTCAAGTCAGAAATAATATCAAAAGCACAAATGGGTGCATGCATTATGGACTAAACCTGCTTGGATATTATTTTTTTATCCCTATATTTTAATTTGACTGCTCTTTTCTCATCATTTTAATATTAGATTATCAGTTTATTTTTAGCTACAATAACTAAACCTTTTTAACTTGTCTACCCCACCCACCATCTAACAGAACTTTCTACAGAGGGTGATCCAACTACCTGGGGGCAAGAAACTGCACTTTTCTCACAGTTATTGCAATATGAAATGCATTATTTCTGCCTATGCAAAATGGAAAGTTTTTCCATTTTGGAAATGGAAAGAAATCCTGAAGTTTAATTCTGAAATCAGAAACAGAACATGAAATAGTGGTGATTGCCCTAGGGCATCCCAACTATTCCCCTCTGGTGCTTTAGGAGCCTGTGACCTGAGGTGGGCCTTCATTCTTTTTATCCTCATAAGAACTATCTGTACACAAGAGTTGATCAGCCAGGATATTTAGCCCAATTGAGCACTTTGAGTTAAAAGTAACTTTTTGTAGGTTTGGAATTACATTCCTTAAGCATTTCTGATATGGATCCCTTCCCCTCATCTATTTTCTTATTTTGAAATCAATTTGGTTTTAATAGTTGAAATGTATTTATTTATCTAAATGTTCCTTTATATTGAGGAAAATATTCTCATGTAATATTGGTAAGATTCTAAAGAATTAGATGCAGAGTTAAAAGTGACTATACACAGGGAAAAATACAAAAATAAAGAGTATACAGACACATACACAATTTTGTATTTTTTTCCTGAGCACAGTTACAGGGATGGCCTTTACTTTCCACATCCTCTCTAGTTCTTCCTTCAGGCTCTGAATATATCTCTATCTCTATCTTCAGGGCCTGAAGGAGGAACTAGAGAGATGTGAAAGTAAAGGCCAAAGTGGTCCCAGTGATGATAGTAGCATTCAGGGCCGTGACTCCTA